ACTTCAGTAGTTCAGAGTAGTATTGTTGAGCCCCATCTATCACATCTCCCAGCATGCTGGACGCGCTGGGTAGCCTCACCACGTCTCCTGAGCACGTCTAGCTTTCCGCCTACACACAAGCAGCGATCTGTCTTGACCAGGCCAGGACCTGCGCTGTCAGTGTGTGTGCTGTAAGTGTAAGCAAGGTTTCAAGTGTCACGCTCTTGAAACAGCACCAGTGCGGAACACCTACAGCGCTTGTCAAACTTGTCACGCGCCTCCTGGATTGTAGACAGTACTTGAACCGATTTTTCTTGGACTCTGTATATTGCCGGCATTGAGGGGCTGGGCTGGTGGCAGAACCGACGCCTGATCGAAATTCTCCTCCGCATCACCGTCCAGGTCGATCAGTGTTACGTCCTGCGATTCCACATCCGACTCTCCTCGGCACTGCTGTCATCAGAACTGCGATTGGACCACGCCAAAAAGATGACTATTCATCGTGAAGGAGTTCGGCTAAAACCTCTGGGGAGAAGCCCACAGCAATTTGAGCTAGCGACCGTCTTCTGCTTCGTTCCGCCATGACTCTCACCTTGTAATCTTCAAAAATCGACAGATCGTGACGTTTTGTTCTTTTTCTCGAAAAAAATACGAAGCACCGAAAGTCGGTTTTCGCAGAGCGCGGGTCACTATATTGGCTCACCATCCGAGTTCAATTTTTTTCATCGGTTTTAGGGAAGAGTCGTGATGGCGTGATTTTTTTTCTTTTTGAGGGAAGATCATCATCATCAGCCTTTTTCGAGTTGACATCGCCAAGCAAGCTTGGCTAGTCTTCGCTTAGGCCAAATGGAATAAGGAATGAGGAACGAGCGGAGTCAATGAGATGCGAATACGCATACAAATGCAGAATAGGGAACAACGAAAATGTTAAATATATAAATACAATATAAAAACAGTCCCCCATACACACGTACTGTCAACTATTTTACTACTAAATCTGAAACCTGCCGAGTATTATGCACGTTTGGAGAAGTAACGTTTCGCCTCGCTTTCTTGCGGAAGATTGAACAGATTAATCAATTGGAGTGAAGAAGGGAATGGAGTGAGGGAAGAGAGCTCATTGACGGCCAGAGTGGAGTTGCGACCTTCAGCTGTTCAGCTGGTTGGTCACCCGGAGCTCCGTCAACGAGGTCAGAGAGCTGAAGCGAGAACGTAGCCGATGTTATGCTGACGGGTTGGCAGCGGCTAGACGAGGTCCACGACATGTACAGTCTCAGAGTCAGAACTGCCACCGCAACACCGGCAACACAACGTGTGCATGGGTGCAGAATGTTGGAATGTTTGAGTCTGCCTTGATCGTTCGGTCATCACGTCAAACAAGAACGTTTTTGGATATTGCCATGTGCCGAATGCTTCTTTGTGCAGGAAAGCTGCAAATGGGGAAAGTCCGAAGAATTTCTTTTAGGAAAGAAAAAGACCAATGCTCCATTAACAGCTAACTAACAGCCATTTACGGTAGTTGTAGAACGTCAGTATCGTCAGTCAGTGTTATCCAATGTTGTCGCAAGCGCCAATTGTTTAGTAGCTGGTGGTGTTAATAGACATTTTAGCGTAAGTTGCAGTTCTTTGGTCTTTTTTCTACTATAAATTTACCGTATAGGCGCGAAGTGAAGCCCGGGGTATATTTGAGAGAGGAATTTATTGGAGAGGGGCTTTATTTTCTTAATACAAACACCATTTTTAACACTATTCATGTTGATCAGTGCATGCAGTGACTAACTCGATCGTTGCACGGTAAAGTACCCGATACTGCACTGCACAGTACGGACATTGCGCACTCAAATATAGCCCAGGGCTTTCTACGAGACAGGGATTTAATATTCCGATTCCCTCTGACACACAGGCTCTATTTTTTTTGTGAGGGGCTAGATTGGAAGGGGGGGAGGCTTGTGTTCGAGCGTATGCGGGTCTCCTTAGCTATCTTTTCGACAAGTAATTTTCATTTATTCAACATTTCCTGGTTTTTATTTATTTATTTATTTCACTCAACTCGTGGTCGATGACCAATTGGCACGCAAAGTGCGAGAGAGGGGTGATAGCCAACCATGGCAAGAAAAGAAAAGAAAGGAATATAGAAAAAGAGAAGAAAGAAGGATAGACAAGAATCCAGCAATGAGATCCTATCGTACTACATTATGCGATCGGAGTGCATTTTTAAAGCTGGAAAGACATTTGGATGTTTTAACATGCTGGGGAAGTTGCAGCCAAAGGCTGTAGGACAAAAACAGAGGAGAGTTGGTAAATGCGGCTGAATTAGCACAGGGAAGTGAGAGACTATTACGAGTGGACCGGGACAGAGAAAACCAATTCAATACGGAGAGATGAATGGGAATTTTACCTAGGCGAATTCTGTGGATCAAAATGCAAAGCTGATGTTTGTGATTATCTTGCAGTGGCTGAGTATTGCTGATACAATAGAGCTCAAGACTAGGAAATAAATGCTGCTTGTTAAACAATATTTTTAAGAAGAGATTTATGTTGGATTTCAAGTTTGTTCACAAGATGTTGACTTAGACTACATCAAGACTGACATGCATACTTCCTCCGCGTCATCGAAATTGTCGCAGTTTGACTTTTGATATAAAACGGGGTATATACTCACCAGCACTCGTACCAGAGGCAAGGAAGGGGACATAGGCGATAGTCATCAGTATAGGGTGATGGCAAAGTTCTATTTTCTGTTATTGGAAGCTGGAATTTTTGAACTAGACGCAATTTCTTCGCTGATGTCGCTGCGATGGTAATTTCGACTCGCTGAGATCAATCAGGCGTTGCAGGCTGCACATTTCTCGTGCTTATGGCCATTCACTCAAGCCTCATCACTGTTTTACCTTAGCTGGGGTGAGAATGACTTCGTGGAACAAGTGGCAGCGCTTGGAGAAACATCGAGGGGTCAGCAAACTAAATGCCTCCAACAGCGATAAAATTTGTCGCTCTGGCTGAGACACTCAGTACATGATTGTACCTGCAAGAGCCGTGTAGACTCTACAGTACTACACGTAGTGCTAGTGTCGTAGTGATGCACGCGCAGGTGCCGTACCATGGTATACCTGTGATGCTGAAAAAGAGGGCACGCTGGACGTGATAGTACACTTACCTGCATGAGCTGTGACCACACAGCTAAAATAAATAGGCATGCCAAGGCTAAAAAAAGTTCATTTCAAGATCGAGGTGATTCCGCCGACGGTAATCAACCGACCTCGCGATGATCGTGTATGCTTACTAGGCTTCGTTGGTGGTGAAGTAGAAATCACCCAGAGCTAGCAGACGACAAGCATAGCAGCTCTTGTCCTGTGGAGAAAGTCAAAGCGTTCGAGATGAGGCGCGACCAACTTTCAACCTTCCTTGAAATATTTCGGAACGATATTTTTGCGTCCATTGACATCAGCGACGACGAGCACTTCATTTCTGCATAAAAACTCTCAGTCCAACTGTCGTGGAACGTTACTCTAGTCTTCAGACTATCATACTGTGTAATAAGTTTTGAATGGCTTAGCTTATGGAGTTGTCAGTAACAAGTGACAAGTCACTAGTCAAACTCTCTCTCTCTCTCTCTCTCTCTCTCTCTCTCTCTCTCTCTCTCTCTCTCTCTCTCTCTCTCTCTCTCTCTCTCTCTCTCTCTCTCTCTCTCTCTCTCTCTCTCTCGCGGAAGGACAGGCGGTATGCGGATCTGGCCGATCAATGCCGAGCAAACGGGTGGCAAGTCGTTTCTTTTTCGGTTGAGGTAGGTGTGCGTGGTTTCATCCCGGACTCTCTTCGGAGGGCTCTGAAAGCGCTTGGATTTTCTAATCGAAGAATAAAATTTATTTGTAATTTGTGCAGTAAGACGTCTCTGCGAAGCAGCTACATCATCTGGTTGCGGCGTCAACAAAAACACTGGTCGGAAGATCCACTTTTCTGAGGTACTGTATGTGGGGCTCCGTTTATTGAGGTGCGTTGAAATTTATTCTCTTTATCTTACTATTTCTTTTCTATAATTTCCCCATATGAGTTTCTATCAGTTGCTGTGAACACCTTGAGTGGAGAGCGCTTGCTCGAGCGTTGAACCGGGTTCTTAATCCACCATACCCAGTTCGCAAGGCTGGGCGGGGTTGTGAGCAGGCTTTCATTTCATCTTTTCTTATTATTTCTTATTATTTCTGCTTTTCATCTCATTACAAAAATTCTGCGCTTTTTCTCCATCTGCGCATAAAATCTAGACTGACAACCTGCTTGTTAAATCATGCACCTGCTTTCAGGCGTAAAAACCCTGTTGTAGAGGTCTCAGTCCTCATTTGTTAGACTTACCTGTCTTTATAAATGTAACTTACTCTCTCTCTTTCTTCTCTTCTTCTCCCCCCCCCCCCCATCTCCCGATAATTATTAGCCCCCGTTTTCTTTCGACGCGTTTGCTGTGCAGTGAAGCCGAGACCCTAGGTCGGTGGAGCACATCAGACACCGTCACCACGTCCACGATACATGCCTGCGATGCTGCACCGCTGCTTTGCATGTCATGATTGGAAGCTGTGGCCTTAGTAAAAAATAAAAAATAAAAAAATAAAATAAAAAAAACTGAGACAATTTCGATGACGCGGAGGAAGTACTTGAAAAAAAGTTATAGATACGAGTGATAAAACATAGAACGGCATGTATTTGGCAGATGAGAACGATGAGGATATAGTATGCCGAGAACACTACTAGTTGTTTTGCAAATATAGTCTACATGAGGATCCCATGTTAGACAGTCGTCAATAATTATACCAAGGTGCTTATGTTCATGGACAATTTCTATGGTCGATGAGCTGCCGGTTTGTCAAACGACTGCCAATAACAAACGGATGTGAAATGAAGGGCGACAGCCAACCACAGAAATCTATCCAATAAATTACAGAGGAAGTATAAACATTTTGAGAGCAAACAATACCCCTTGTAGCTTTGGCATGTCATTTTTTGATTTAGCACCAAAAGTGGCCCTTTTTGCCATGACGGAGGGTGAGTCGAAGTCTCTGTGGATCATTACTAAACATTCACCTGTTATACTGAATACAATGATGACGGAGGACAAGCCGGAGCCTCTGTAGATCATTACAAGCCATTTGACCCTTTACACCAACTTCAATGGCACCCCGTACCAGTTTGTTCGTATGTGTGTGTGTGTGTGTGTGTGTGTGTGTGTGTGTGTGTGTGTGTGTGTGTGTGTGTGTGTGTGTGTGTGTGTGTGTGTGTGTGTGTGTGTGTGTGTGTGTGTGTGTGTGTGTGTGTGTGTCTTCTCTTCTTATTATTTTCAATTGTTTTGTTTGTTGACATTTATTTTACTTCACCAATTGCACAGGCATGTTTGCCTTCTCACCGTTCCATAGGTCCAGTTCTCACAGAAAGATGAAGGAAATTATATATTATAATTATACGACTACACTATAGCTCAGTGGTTAGAGCATCGCTAGCTACAAGTGAAGGTCCCTGGTTCGAGTCCAGGTGGTGACATTCAATTTTTTCTTCAGACTTTTCCCGTTTGTGTCTTTCCCTCAAACTAGTGAAGAAATTATATAAGGAAATGTATAGGCCACCTCCTGGGTGACGCTGAATATGCTGCTCGAGGCGTCAACTGGCCGCCGCCTTCAACTCACTCCTCAAGATCTGGACCCGGAGGCGCCAGATCAGTGAAGGTCTTCGGCTGAGGCTCTACAATGCCTACGTCATCCCAGTCCTTACCTACAACTGTGGCACTTGGGGCCTACCGATGTCGGAGCTCGCGCGAATGGATTCGTTCCACAGGACCCAGCCAAGGAGCATCATCGACATGCGGTGCCCTAAACGAATTAGCAATTACACTCTGTACTAGCGCTGCGGAGCTGTCCCCATCAGCGAGATGATCACAAGGCAGTGCTACAGTCTCGCTGGCCATATCTTTCGTTTGGCCCCAACTGCTCCTCCACAGTTGGCAGTGGATATGTATCTTCGCTTGGCCAACGACGAGGGAACTGAACGCTTCAGGGGTCGACCTCGGACGACTTTGGTAACGGTCTTGCAGATTGAACTGTCATCATGGCATGGACTTACCCTCCACCAGCCGCTAGATGCTGACGCAGTCCGCACACTGGCAGCGGACCGACAGGCATGGCATGGAGCCCGCCCCACCTAACAAGACTGATTCTCGTGATCCACGTGATTCCGCCAGACATGTATGCATATTCTATTTTCTAGACATCAATCCTGAATGGCATAAGCGAAAGTGGCACCCCGCCACCTACGCGGACATGCTTTTAATATAATATAATATACAAATATTACACAGCAATGAATCAAAAAAGTCTCATTCCAAGATAATATATATAGAGAGAGATAAAGACATGGAAGCGGTATAATAATTATTATTATTATAGAAAAGTTTGTTATGTGTGTATGCTGACACTCAATTTGTGAAAATTATTTTAATTGTGAATTAAGCAATGATATTTTTGTAGTCATTTCCTGGCCCGATGTTCATGTTTTGTTTTTGTTTTTTTACAGCCTATAATTGTTCAGTAAGACTAACTAATGGTATCTTCACTGGTGCAGCACCGTTCTTCAGTGCTATGTGTGACGATGGATATCAGATTATTGGGAACAGAAATGTTACATGCTTGACCGCTGTAGCAACAACAACTCCACCTAATTGCAAACGTTAGTATCATGCTTGCAGTCAGCAATCAATATGATCGACTCGTTTTTGGGCAATGTTGAAGTAAAGATTATTATTATTATTATTATTATTATTATTTGAACGGATTGCGAGAGCTTCAAATTCAAAGGATCATTTTGGGAAGTGAACTGTCTGAAAAGAGAAAAAAAACAACCAGACCCATCAGGACTCGACCCAAGAACCTTGCTGGTCAGGAGCAATGCGCTAACCATGGAGCTATGAGACCAGGCTGAACCTAGAAGGTGCTGACAAGTTTTTCACTCCAAAGGAGGGAGAAAGACCTAAGTGCCATCAGTATGTTTGGCACATGTTGTGAGCTGCCTTTGGAGTGAAAAATTTGTGAGCGCCTTCTAGGTTCAGCCTGGTCCCAAAGATCAGTGGTTAGAGCATTTCTCATGACAAGCAAGGTCCAGGGTTCAAGTCCTCAAGTCCATTTTTTTCCCTTTTCAGGCAGTTCACTTCGCAAAATGATCCTTTGAAATATTATTGTTATGATGAAGAAAGGAAAAGGACAAATTGTTACGAGTTATGACAAACTGTCCACCAACGTAACCAGATCTTATACAGTCAGCAAGTGCGACAAACTGGCCCAAAACTGACAAGGAGTACTGAGACATTCGGCGACCTGACACCTAGCTCCAACACTTCTCCAAGACGCAAACCAACAACCTTCCAACTTGAAAGGCTCAGGTTCGGAAAGGTCCAAGAGGGGAAGGAAGCGCAACGAGGAAGAGCATGAGCTACGCATCACGGCAACAAAAAGAATGCCGAACGTTACTGGATTATGACGAAACTAGTAAGACTATTGGACAGACCGGCCCTACTACAACTCGACGACGCAAAGCAACAGACCACCCAACAGTATAATATCAAAAACACAAGAAAAAATAGTCCACTCTCGTCTGTACAATCACATAGCACCGCACTTACCCTCCAACCAATCCGGCTTCAGGAAACAAGACGGGACCGAACTGCAACTCGCACGGATCGTCCACCAGATATCCACAGCTAGGGATGCGGGGAAGCATGTTGTAACGTGTTTCTTCGATCTCAGTAAAGCCTTTGATCGTGTATGGCATCGAGGCTTGCTGAAAAAGCTGAGCCACTATGGTGTCGACGGCAAGGCTCACAATTGGCTCGAAGCCTACTTGACAGGATGCAGACAGCGGGTGCAGGTTGAAGGCACAACATCCGCCTTCATACCAATACCAGCAGAAGTGCCCCAGGGCTCGGTCCTGGGACCACTTCTGTTCCTGGCGTACACCATTGACCTGCCCACTGCCTGTGAAAATGCTACAACCTCGTGTAGCCAGTTCGCGGACGACACCGCACTAATTGCCATTGCAGGCAGCTACATTGAGTGTGAGGCTCCGCTACAAAGAAGCGTCGATGCCGCAGCAGAATGGCTAGAGCGCTGGCACCTGCTAGTCAATAAAACGAAAACCGTCATCCTCCCGTTCTACCATGCTAACCGACCCCCACCACGACTACCCGAAATAAAACTTGGCCAAACCCTATTAGAAACAGTAACACAACATCGTCACCTCGGCATCATCTTTCAGCACGACCTAAGATGGTCAGCCCACCTTGACTTTGTGCTGAAGAAAGCCGTAAAATCTTTTAATATTCTCTTTAGGCTCAAATCAACTCTACACACTAAATCACTCTCTCTCTCTCATTTACAAAACGTATATCCTGCCTATAATTGAATATGCATGCATTGTTGTCACCCCGCTCTCAATCGCAGCCCTTGACCGTCTTGAGCGAATCCAGCGCAAGGCGGCCAGAATCTGCCTCCGTCTCCCCCTTTACACTCCTCTGGATCATTCAACACTGCTCCATCGGCTCAAATGGCCGACAATGTTCTCTCGCCGCAAAGTGAAGCTCACCCTTCTTGCTCACTCCATAAAATACCAATATGCCCCACAACACATACGCTTGCTCAACACCCCCGCTCAAGTTACGGCCCAGTACAGCCTTCGACACGCACGCACTTGGCACCTCCCACCCTCCAGAACCGATCGCTGTAAAGACTCCCCACTGTACAAGTCCCTAGAATACTACAAAGCCCTTCCTGCTAGCATTCGTGACGTCTCCTCCCGACCCGCTTTCAAACAAGAAATCTGCTCACTGCTGATTAACTCAATCTGCTCCTGCAGCGCTCACCCTCTCCCATACTTGTAAAGTTCAAAGTGATGTAAATCACTTTCCAACTGTTTAACCCACAATCTCACCTTCTCATCAATTTATCTCTTATTGGCGATGGTGCCATCGTGAGAATAAAGAATTCAAACTTGGGAGGCTCAAGTTTATGTAACAACCATAGAAGGGGAAGCTAAGCGAAGACGAATTGTAACAAACCGAAACGCCAACATCCTACTGAACGCCACTATCATGTATGATAGACTAGTTATGTACAATAACAAGTAGTTCCACACGACGTACGTTTCGCCGTGTAGGTCATGACGTCTCATCAGGTGTGCAAATTTGAACTCGGATGGTGAGCCAATAATTATAGTTATGATGAAGAAAGGAAAAGGACCAAATGTTACGAGTTATGACAAACTGTCCACCAACGTAACCAGCTGATATACAGTCAGCAAATGCAACAAACTGGCACAAAACTGACAAGGAGCACGGAGACATTCGGCGACCTAACACGTAGCTCCAACACTTCTCCAAGACGCAAACCAACAACCTTCCAACTTGGAAGGCTCAGGTTTGTCACAATTCGTCTTCGCTTAGCTTCCCCTTCTATGTTTATTACATAAACTTGAGCCTTTCAAGTTAGGTGATCTGTTGCTTTGCGTCGTCGAGTTGTAGTAGGGCCGGTCTGTCCAATGGTCTTACTAGTTTCGTCATCATCCAGTAACGTTCGGTATTCTTTTTGTTGTCGTGATGCATAGCTCATGCTATTCTTCGTTGCGCTTTCCTTCCCCTTCTGGACCTTTCCGAACCTGAGCCTGAAGGTTGTCGGTTGGCACTACGGAGATGTGTTGAAGTTAGGTGTCAGGACGTCGAATGCTTCAGGGGTCGACCTCGGACGACTTTGGTAACGGTCTTGCAGATTGAACTGTCATCATGGCATGGATCTACCCTCTACCAGCCGCTAGATGCTGACGCAGTCCGCACAATGGCAGCGGACCGACAGGCATGGCGTGGAGCCCGTCCCACCTAACAGGACTGATTCTCCTGATCCACGTGATTCCGCCAGACATGTTGTATGCATATTCTATTTTATTCCCGTAGCTATGCAGAAGACGTTACTTCAGTAACGTCTGGCGCTAGCCAGGGTCCACACAGCTTTAATTTGGTATTTGTGTGTTTGTGTGTTTGTTTGTTTGTTTGTGTCACGCCTGGCGCTATCCGTATCTGACGGCAAAAAGCATAGGATGTTATAAATTTTTCAATTCTCCTATTTTTTTCCAGGCATATCCTGGGATTCGAACCCGCACTATTGCCCTACATGCATTCCCCCATACACTTCGCATTCATACCCATTCTTCCAAGTTGCTTCACGTTATTATCTTGCGTTTGAAAGCCCTATTTGAATATTGCGGGCAGCTGTATGTGGCCAGCTGTGTTTGATGGTACGGTACGGTACGGGAGACGGTGTCGTATTACCCTCGATCGTACCTGTCCCGTACCTATCCCCTACCGTACCGTGCCATCAAAGATGGCTGGCCACAATGCATATTCAAATAGGGCTTTCAAATGCAAGATCACAATGTGAAACAACTTGGAAGAATTAGTGTGTATGCGAAGTGTATCGGGGGATGCATGCAGGGCGCGCGATAGTGCGGGTTCGAATCCCAGGTTATGTCTTAAAAAAGGATTTTTTAAAGAATTTATAACATCCCTATGCTTTTTTTGTCTAGGTCATCAAGGCAAAAAAAGCATAGCGTAGGGTCCTGAGCTTCCAAGCTCTTTCGTTTTATACTTTGGATGAAGTTTTCCATTAGTCCTATTGGAATTGTTGCTAACGGCTTTTGTTGACGTCACTTCTGTCATTTCATTGTATCGTATTACTCTTCAGACATCAATCCTGAATGGCATAAGCGAAAGTGGCACCCCGCCACCTACGCGGACATGCTTTTCATATAATATTTATAACATATATAGAGAGAGATAAAGACATGGAAGCGGTATAATTATTATTATAGAAAGGTTTGTTATGTGTGTATGCTGACACTCAATTTGTGAAAATTATTTTAATTGTGAATTAAGCAATGATATTTTTGTAGTCATTTCCTGGCCCGATGTTCATGTGTTTCTTTTACAGCCTATAATTGCTCAGTAAGACTAACTAATGGTATCTTCACTGGTACAGCACCGTTCTTCAGTGCTATTTGTGACGATGGATATCAGATTCTTGGGAACAGAAATGTAACATGCTTGACCGATGTAGCAACAACAACTCCACCTAATTGCAAACGTTAGTATCATACTTGCAGTCAGCAATCAATATGATCGACTCGTTTTCTGGCAATGTTGAAGTAAAGGTTATTATTATTATTATCGACTGGTTTTGAGGGAAAGAGACAAACGGGAAAAGTCTGAAGAAAAAATTGACTGTCACCACCAGGACTCGAACCAGGGACCCTCGCTTGTAGCCAGCGATGCTCTAACCGCTGAGCTATGGTGTAGTCGTCATCCAAGCAGAGACCGTTCAACGTTTTCTTCAGACTTCGTAACTCACACTTCCTGTGAATCCACACAGGCGGGTGGGACGCAGCCCTCACTGTAACCCACACACTTCACGTACAAACTAGCACGCGGGGAGCCCCAAGTCATACAATATTGACTGGTATTATTATTATTATTATTATTATTATTATTAGTATATTTGAAAGGATTGCGAGAGCTTCAAATTCAAAGGATCATTTTGGGAAGTGAACTGCCTGAAAAGAGAAAAAACAACCAGACCCATCAGGACTCGACCCCGGGAGCTTGCTTGTCAGGAGCAATACCCTAACCATGGAGCTATGAGACCAGGCTGAACCTAGAAGGTGCTGACAAGTTTTTCACTCCAAAGGAGGGAGAAAGACCTAAGTGCCATCAGTATGTTTGGCACATGTTGTGAGCTGCCTTTGGAGTGAAAAACTTTTGAGCGCCTTCTAGGTTCAGCCTGGTCCCAAAGATCAGTGGTTAGAGCATTGCTCATGACAAGCAAGGCCCAGGGTTCGAGTCCTGGTGGGTCTGGCGTTTTTTTCTCTTTTCAAGCAGTTCACTTCGCAAAATGATCCTTTGAAATATTATTGTTATGATGAAGAAAGGAAAAGGACCAAATGTTACGAGTTATGACAAACTGTCCACCAACATAACCAGCTCTTATACAGTCAGCAAGTGCAACAAACTGGCACAAAACTGACAAGGAGTACGGAGACATTCGGCGACCTAACACCTAGCTCCAACACTTCTCCAAGACGTAAACCAAGAACCTTCCAACTTGGAAGGCTCAGGTTTGTCACAATTCGTCTTCGCTTAGCTTCCCCTTTTATGTTTATTACATAAACTTGAGCCTCCCAAGTTAGGTGATCTGTTGCTTTGCGTCGTCGAGTTGTAGTAGGGCCGGTCTGTCCAATGGTCTTACTAGTTTCGTCATCATCCAGTAACGTTCGGTATTCTTTTTGTTGCCGTGATGCATACCTCATGCTCTTCCTCGTTGTGCTTTCCTTCCCCTCCTGGACCTTTTCGAACCTGAGCCTTCCAAGTTGGAAGGTTGTTCGTTTGCGTCTTGGAGTGTGTGGGAGCTAGGTGTCAGGTCGCCGAATGTCTCAGTACTCCTTGTCAGGTGTGTGCCAGTTTGTCGCACTTGCTGACTGTATAAGAGCTGGTAACATTGGTTGACAGTTTGTCATACCTCGTAGCATTTTGTCCTTTTCATTTCGTCATCATAACTATAATTATTGGCTCAACATCCGAGTTCAAATTTGAATTATTATTATTAGTATTAGTTTTATTGGACTGGGATGGAGAGCCAAGGTTGATTTATAGAAAAAACGCATCCAAGACAGGGATTGATTTAATTAGTTTTTTTTGCATACCAGTAACTGCTACACAGTTTTACAATAGGTCTTTTGCCAAATAAGACACGCAGTGACTTGGCGGGGCAAGGCATGTCTACTGAATGCGTGACCCGGGCACACCATACATGCAGTGCATTACGAGTCACGCGCGAGCTCTTGTTCCTGAACCGCGACGATCAATCACCGCGTTTGGCGTGTACTCACCCACGCGTCGAGAAAATAGTGACTTTCTTTTTTTGTTTTGCTTGTGTCTTTCAAAAACTATGTTTCTTCAAGCGATCGCGATCGCAATCGACATTCTAGAATAATATAATGAGTACGGTCACTGGATTTTCTCTGCCTAGTTCTTGTAAAGGGTTTAGTTTTGTTTTCTAGAAGATCTCTCCAGATTTTTATCCATGGGAAAGGCGATCACTGCTGCGTTCCGCAGTGCAACAGCGACCGATGTTCAGACAAAATACTTTTTTCAATGTCTTCCCTGCTAGCAGGGAATCGAAAAACTGGAGAAGCTAAGAGCGTGAGCAGTGACGAGTTGGACACAAGAAAGTCTTGGATTGCCGCCATTCGTCGAGATGAGCGGAATGGCGACGGGTACCATCATGTGATACAATATAGTGGTGTGTTCTAACCATTTCACTGATGAATACTATAGTCGCTATGAACGATATCCAAGTGGAGTTCAGCCTGGAGATTTAGCTCAGTTTGAAGACTCTGACATTCAGTACTACACTGGTTTTCCTTTGCTTGCTGCGTTTGATGCATGTATTCAATTTCTTCACCTTGATTATAAGAGCGTCTTCCCTTTCGCAGTAAACCAGTGGATGCCGATTCCAGGAAAAGGAAACCCGGTGATGAACGGAAGATTAAGTTAATTGGCTTGGAGAGCTTTTTCATTACCATGGTTAGTCTTCGCCACGGCACACATACCAATCTCGCCGCGTCCTTCCCAAGTGGCAAAGCGATTGCTGGATGTTTTCAAAAAGCTGCATCCTACAACATTCATGATCATAGATGCTACAGTGCTGAAATGTAATATTGATTCCAGTCTGTCTGCGCAGTCGCAACTCTACAGCTCATATAAGACGCATAACGTTACTACCTTGACGTGCCTCATCCGTATGACCCCAGATGGTGGTGCGGCGCTTACCTCCAAGTCATTTACGGGATCCACCACCAGTGACCACGAGCTCACAATCAGAAGCCACTACTTAGATCTTCTGCCAGTAGCCGGCTATAGGACTTAGATTATGGCAGACCAAGGATTTGACATCCGGGATCTCTTGATGCCACATGGCGTAAAGTTGAACATTCCCCCGTTCAAGCGATCAAGCAACAGATGGCCTTAGAAGATGTCCAGAAAACGCAACAAATTGCCACGTTACGAATTCATGTTGAGTGTCTGATGGAGCGAATCAGGGAGTTCTCTATCTTTTCAAAGATCATTCCAACAACTCTTTTCCCTATCATCATTCAGATATGGATTGTTCGCTGCCTGCGCACAGTATTCTAGGCTCCTTTACTTGCTGAAGCAAATATGTTTTCCATGCCAACTGTTGCTAGCATTGCATGGCGAATTGATCTTCAGCAACACGAATTCTGTCATGCCTGAACAATCATGCACAATACGGAGCAGCTAATGACTTAGTGGGTATAAATGTGGATAGTATGATATAATTTAGATTGCAATATTTGCAAAAGTGCAATGAACAATAATACCACTCTTGATGAATATTAGTGATGGCGGTTTATCAATTTCCATGGTCACAACAGACTTACAAGGGCGAATATAAAAGTATCTTTGCAACCATACAATAGGTCTTTTGGTGGAGCACAGCTGGACCCAGTTTCAGGAAAACTAGGACGAAATGTAGCTGCTAGAGGGATGATTATGCTCATCGCGTCGCTATGGGCTTCCACGAGCTCACCGTCAACAATGCTCTGAATGGCAGCGGTTTTCCGCTTTCCTTGCCGATGCCTGCCGCCAAATATATCTGGAGTGCACAGTATTGGATCGATGTGATAGAACCAGGCCCTGAACAGATGGAGAAAGTTAGAATGTAAAACATGTATCGATAAAAATGTACTTTTTCTTGTGCGAAATGTTGAAGACTGCATCCTGAAGTGGTACTTACCGATCGAGCAAATCACCCCGTTTCCTGGACACTCCGGCACCCTCTAGCTCACAGGTAAGTCTTCAACTGGTTCATTGTCCATTTTTCAAAGGACTCGTTGTCCAAAGGCATCAAAAACCGAGCTTTGGGATCGCTAATTCTACTTGATTCTCCCTCGCAGGACTACTATCAACATTCCCTTCATCGCAACGTACCGCCACAAGAGATGAAGTGCTCGGCTCATTGACCGCTTCATCAGCCATGTATCAAACATATCACAAAGGTCCAGCAAGAAGTAAATGCAAAAAAACCTTTCTACATATCGGACAGCAATGAAGAAGCTAGAAGAAAACATAATCTTTCGCTGTCAGTTTTTTTTCCGATCCAGGAGAGTCTCGTTTTTTCTGGCCGCCTGGGTGAGTACACGCCAAACGCGGTGATTGATCGTTGCGGTTCCAGAACAAGAGCTCGCGCTGGGAGGAATGCACTGCATGTATGGTGTGCCTGGGTCACGCATTCAGTACACATGCCTTGCCCCGCCAAGTCACTGTGTGTCTTATTTGGCAAAAGACCTATTGACTAGCAACTCCCAGTATTGATTAGCAGTTTTCCTTCATCGAAAGTTTACACGTACATGTATATGGGTACAATAGCAGGATTTTGTACAGAAGAGGACAATAGCTGCAGTTGCTATTTGCTTTTCCAAACGAACGGTTGACCTGAATATTTTACGTTAGGGTTTTCGCCTGGGCTTGGTACATGTTCAGCGTCCATCTGACTTCGAATTCTTCACAACACAATGTCCTTCAACAGGGCAGTTCCACTGATTCCTTCCACAAAGAAGGCTCAGGAAAGCACTCAAACAATCGTGACACTTCGTTCAAAGCGCACAGAATTTTCGCTTTTCTCCTTTTCTTCATCGAAACGAATCGACACTCCTGGCGCGTCCAGTTCTTTTTCCCGCTTCTGGACAGTGATCAGACTCACTGACATGTTGGCTACATGAGACTAAGCACCATCTACTTCAACTGTGTCTTGTCGAACAGAAACAAACTGAATTGAGCTTGACAGTGAAAGAAGAAAGGAGAACTTCAGGGAAAGTCACCGCCGTGTACAAAACTACAAAAGATTGCATGTCGACCAGTGCTATAGCAGTGGCTAGTGCAGACTGCAGTGTCCAAAATCAAACAGAGCGCGATCCGCGACCCGCGCGCGCGCCCGAGCTGAGCAGGACAGGCCAGTTGGTTGGAGTAGTAAAATACTACTCCCTAGTCAGCAGTGTGTACAGCAGTAGCATGCAAACTGCACGTAAACAGTACAGAATGGTCTTTGTACATACCGGTATGCATGGCCAGTGCATCGCAGTTTTGGGCGATAAAAAACGAAAAGCGAATCGCAGCCAGTGAATTTTGATTCGCAAACTGCGATGCGAACCCGGATAAATTGATCCCTGCAAGATGTGGTAGAGCTGTTAGCCAGTTAGTTGTAGAACGTCAGCACCGTCGGTCAGTGTGGTGCAATGTTATCGCACGATCTCATTGTTAGTAAATGGTGGTGTTAGTGGCTGTGGCAGCCCAGCTCAGTGAATTTGCGCTTCACTGGACGTTTTTTTTGACATGCAATAGCACAGGCAGGAGATGCAGTATAGTTGAGGAAATACTGCAACTCCTGATGCTATCATTGTACGGAGCAATGGGCATCCAAAGGTCCAAAGGTGTGTGTGTGTGTGTGTGTGTCTTCTTTTCTTATTATTTTCAATTGTTTTGTTTGTTGACTTTTACTTAACTTCGCCAATTGCACAGGCAGGTTTGCCTTCTCACTGTCCCATAGGTGCGGTTCTCACAGAAATATGAGGGAAATTATATAATTATTGTATTACGACTACACCATAGCTCAGTGGTTAGTCCATTTTTTCCTCAGTCAGACTTTTCCCGTTTGTGTCTCTCCCTCAAACTAGTGAAGAAATTATATAAGGAAATGTATAGAGATAAAGACATGGAAGCGGTATAATAATAATTATTATTATTACTATAGAAATGTTTGTTGTGTGTGTATGCCGACACTCAATTTGTGAAAATTATTTTAATTGTGAATTACGCAATGAAATATTAGTTATTATTTCCTGGCCCATGTTCCTGTTTTCTTTTACAGCCTATAATTGTTCACCTAGATTAACTAATGGTATCTTCACTGGTACAGCACCGTTCTTCAGTGCTATGTGCGACGATGGATATCAGATTATTGGGAACAGAAATGTTACATGCTTGACCGCTGTAGCGACAACAACTCCACCTAGTTGCAAACGTTAGTATCATGCTTGCAGTCAGCAATCAATATGATCGATTCGCCTTCGGGCAATGTTGAAGTAAAGATTATTACTTCCTCCGTATACAAAAAATTCGTGACTTTTTTTGAAGGCTGCTCATAGCTCTGGAATTGTTCCGTTTGACTTGGAATAACACTCGTGGCATTGCCCTACCTGTTTACAAGCTATATACACAGAAAAAAGCAACTTAGACGAATGAGATTGAGTTTATTCAGAGTCTTCGTCGCTCCTGTCATTGTCACCTGACGACGCTGACTCCGCATCGCCAACAGTCGCTGCTTCCGCTCACATTTCGTCCAGATTCTTTTCATCTGCAATCATGATCCGACGCATGACTTTGGCTACGTACTCTTCATTTCCAGAGCTGTTTACAAATCGGTGTCAACTATATTCAGTCGTTCAAACCCGCGACCTCCATTATGCCATGAAACGAGTCGCTCAAGCACATCCACGTGCTTCGCATTTTCTCGGCAGGAGAATCCTCCCAGCATTCTACAACGGCTTCGACGAGGTCCCTGCGATTCCTCAAGGCGACAACGGAGACGTCTGACTGGAGTGGAGAGAGGCAAAGAAAGCCAGGCCGTCGAAATTACGATCCTGCGCTGGTTGCACTACGACTGAAATGTTTCATCTTGCCGTGCGAGCAGAACCGATTTATGTTCTCACGCTGCGTATGGGGTGCGCACCGCAAGTACGAGCCTGGCCAGTTTCAGGGCAGCGAGTGCCTCGTGACTCCGTGTTCCAGCTGCGAGCTCCACTTTGTCACGGTGTCAGTTTCGAGCAAGTAAGTGTTAGTTTTTTGTCATTTGACTCGTGAGTTCCTGTCTGCAACGTCCTCACACGCATTGCTTCCGTGGAGAATCTGTTCCAGATCAACCAAACCTACCTCAACATGAATGTGGATTGTCAAGTACAGCCTTTGGCGCGGTTCGTTGAGCAGGTTCTTGCTCAAATACACCGTTGAAAAAAGTCACGAAGTTTTTGTATACGGAGGAAATATTATTATTATTATTTGAAACTCGGATGTTGAGCCATAAATAAATGTGGAAGAGAAAAAGACATATGGATACGAGTTAAGAGTAACTCTCCATCACTGTAACATGATACTATATACAGTCAGAAAGTGCAATAACTAGGCACAAAACTGACAGAGTACTGAGACATTCGACGTCCTGACACCTAGCTTCAACACATCTCCGTAGCGCTAACCGACAGCCTTTCAACTTGGAAGGTTCAAGGTTATGGAAAACCAAAGAGGGGAATATATATAGTATCATGTTACAGTGATGGAGAGTTACTCTTAACTCGTATCCATATGTCTTTTTCTCTTCCACATTTATTTATGGCTCAACATCCGAGTTTCAAATTGCACACCTGATGAGCCGTCACGAACCATACGGCGAAACGTACGTCGTGTGAAACAACTTGTTTTGTAGTCAACTAGTCCATCACAATGTCATACATGAGGAGTACTGTAGGAGTTTGGCTTTCGGCTTGTACAATTCGTTTTCGCAAAGCTTCCCTTTCTTTACTTATCTTTGATATTTATGACCCACCCAAGTTGGGTGGTGTGCTGCTTTGCTGCTTCGAATTGTAGTTAGACCGCTTTGTCAAATATCGTACTGGTCTCGTCATCGTCCAGTAACAATCGACATTCTTTGTTTCGTTGGGACTGTAGCTTTTGCTCGTTTTCGTTGCGCTTGCCTTCCCCCTGGATGTAAGCTTAACTATGGGCAAAGTGCATTCTCTGCAGTTGAAGTGATAGGAAGAGAGCCTGATCGAGCCCGTCGCAAACTGCGCGAGGCGATTGAGATTCGTGATGCCAAGCCCCATGTGAACATAAGCACCGGATGGGATTTGTTGTGAATTTTTCTTACCTTCCCCTGCTGCTACTTCAATATCACTGAATAATTATAATATGAGGCGGGTCACTCAAATCCATTCTGTTCCTGATGCCTCGTCGCATCCCTGGTGGTAACAGTTTGGCATGGACGTTTAACCTCATAGTGCATTGACACATGGGGCTCCGTGCTCCCCTCCTGTGCTAGAATTAACACCATCATTATTTGGCAGGTGCCCTCACTTCGTAGAGCAGAACGGCGCGCTCTTCTTCTCCGTGATGTGCACAGTTGCACCTTCTCTCTCCCCCCCCCCTCTGTATAGGTGACATAACTCGCATCATTTTATTTTTTGGCGCTTCACTCTGCGTAACGCCATTCACAGAGCACAATGCGCGCTACCTTCTGTTGCTTCTCCTCCGTGATGTGCTAGTTGCGCCTTTTCTCTCTATCTGTCCCCCCACCCCCTTCTGCACACTAGGTGACATAATTCGCATCTTTTTTGGCGCTACACTCTGCGTATATACTGCTCTTGTGTGGCTTCCACGGTATTCATTGCTAGTATTACCTGACGATGGCCAAGTGCCGAAACGTTGTAAAAATAACGGAACTGGTTCGGATGTGATGTGCAGCGCTATGGGAATGGGTGTGTCCACCCGAATTCTTTTCACAGATGAAGCTGCAGGAAGCCTCAGCCCTTCTTCAAACTCTCCATTCGAATTATTATTATTAACAGTTTCAGAATGACTTTGTATTGGATCGGGTTGCGCGCATAAGTCGGTTGGTGAAGCGCCTTGCTGGCCTGGCTGTGACGCAACCGCAGGCGGCTTATTGCCTTTTTGTTGCGTCTCTGCAATCCCGGTGGACCTTCTTGTAGCGTGTGGTCCCTGCCGACCCAGCCGTGTACTTACCTCAGGACCAGGCCATCAATGACGATCTGCTGCCGGCGCTGACTGGCCACACGTTCAGGCCTGACGGTGCGCTTCGTCAGCTACTATCTGTGCCCCTACGAAACGGCGGTCTCGCTATGCGAATCGGGAGTGTGTGTGCCCAGGCTGAGCGTCTGCTCTGTTGCGATGCGATATACCCTATGGTGACGTGTGTGGTGGTCGGTCTGGGCGAGCGTCGAGTCACCTTCCCCTCTTTGGTCCTACCTAACCGTGAGCCTTCCAAGTTGGAACGCTGTTGGTTTGTGCAATGGAGATGTGTTAGACCTAGGTCTCAGCTCGTTGAATGTCTCGGTAGCCTGTCAGTTTTGTGCCATACTATCGCACTTTCTGACTGCACATCATCTTGTCACAGTCGTGGATAGTTGCTTCATAAATCATACGCATGTGCTTTCTTCTATCTCATATTTATTATTTACTCACATCCATCTTGACTTTTACCTTCATTAGTTGAGCTTTATTAGGCTAGGTGAGATCATGTACGAAGAACACCGCTACTATGGAGGCCAAAACATCACCAGGGATGTAATTTACAACCGTGCTCTATTTCCACTGCGACACAAACTTCGTTTACTCTAGAAAGCAACATGGTGCAGTGTCATTCAGGGATGTGCAGAGCAGATGTTGAGATCTGACTAAAAAGTTGTATCTACTGCGCAGTCATCAAACAACCTCTCTCGATAGCTGTACTCAATCACTGTTTATTTTTAGAACGGAAAAGGAACAAGGATCTGCAAGCCCACACTGAGCCCATTTTTTTTTTGGGGGATTTTTGGTCTTTTTCTACTTTCGTCCCCTTTCAGGAGTCTCTTGTCCACTTTTGACACATCCAAGAAATGGTTCAGTCTCTCCAGGAGATAACAAGTTTGAAACAATCAGAAACTACACTTGTAATGACAGATTCGAATTGATTGGTTTTGCTACAACTACATGTCGCTTTAATGGAGTTTGGTCTGCACCTCAGCCAACTTGCCAACGTAAGTATCATGTAGCGCAATGTAGGGTGGTGCAGGTGCTGCTTCTCGTTGTCAACAATCAGCCACATCCTCTCCCCACCCCCCCCCCCCCCCCGCCCCATGTTGTTTGATTTATTTTATTTTACTTCACCAAATGAACAGGCATTTCTGCCTTCTCACCAGGTCCGGAGACCTAGTTCCGACAAAATGATGAAGAGTGAATGAAAATGTATCCTTAAAATGATTACAATCATGCAGAAGGTTATAATTATGAAAGCGGATAGAAATGATTGAATCACGAGACATGGAGCATGAAGTTATGGAATACGGACACAGAGCATGCAATAAAATTGTGAAAAATTGTGAAAACAAGATGTGTAAAGCTGTGTTCACAACTGGCGCGTGTACGCGTGAAACCAAGCGTTTGTGCGTATTTTTGCTGGCTTTTAGGGCACCATGCATACGGAAACGCGCCCAAATGGAAATTCCAAAATCTTGGAAGTTTCAGCGCGTATCAGGCGCGTACCAGCGTACATGCCAGTCACTTTCACTGACAGGGTCAAACTATTAGTACTCGATGGTGTTAAATACGACTCGGATTGCTGTTTTTTGTGAAAGGCGGAGCGCGCGTTTCGGCACGCATGAACCTCAAGCGTACCGCGCCCACGCGCCAATTGTGAACACAGCTTAGGGCGAGACCAAAAAACGGAGATTCCCGGGCCCTCCCGCACCAAAAATCGAGCCAAAGGTAATTTTTTTAAACAGTTCATACATGTACAGTACTGATCATGTGAGTAGATCTGTGACGTGGAGCCACACAAACTCGAGCTTGTGTAGCAGGCCTGGAGGCAAAACAACCTAGCAACTCGAAACAAACTTTATTTTACAATTCTCTCTCTCTCTCTCTCTTTCTCTCTAGAATGGCAAAACTGCCTCTAGCAGTAAAACTCTGAACTCATTGTGAAAGATACAATAAACGCAATTTATGGAAAATAATCACAAACAGCAACGTACTGTCCTGCGACCGTTGTATGGTAGAACGAACGTCGTATTGAACAGTACGCTGAGCGTATACGCAAATGCTGAGCTTGTAGCGAACGTCGTATTGAACAGTACGCTAAGCGTATACGCAAATGCTGAGCTTGTAGCGTGACCAACGCGTGACCAACGCTACACTTGTACTACTCCCTGATGTACAGATCAGGGCCATTGTTGGCTGAAACGAGAGAGCTTGGAAGCTCAGGGTCCTACTCTATAGACCTTATTCGATAACGTGATTTTTGGACTCGCCTCCAGGGATTTGTCATAAGCTAGGGCACGCGTACGAGAAACGAGTGGCAAGAAAGGCCCAGTTTGTAACCGTTTGAAGGTATTCTTGGAAAAGACAATGCTTGCTCAAGGCAACACAACTGATATAGGGCACTTCGTGCCCTAAGGTGATAACGCGCGTGCTGACAGGATAGGTAAAGGTGCAAGATACAGAGCTAGAGGGCAGATAAGGTTAGCGCTAACAGGGAACTGTTACACCATCCCTCCCTCCTAAGCGAGGCACATGTGCCTCCAGGGAGTCGAGGAATATGTGGAAAGGGAATAATCAAAATGAAATCGTGTCAACCCAACAACGCTCATCTAATTGAAGCACCGTGCAAGGTAACCAAGGACAGTCAGGCGAGTGAAGATAACGGAAATGGGGAAAATCTAAAACAGGAGGGGAATGGATTGCTTAACACAACAAGGATCAAGTGGGAATTCTCAAGGTACACGTGCAATTGAATTTGAGCGAGTAACATTTCGCTGTAACCATAGTGTCACTAACATGCCCTGGACGCCCTGTAACGCCTCAGAGCAACTATCGGCCTACCGGCCTCGTCCAGCAAGTTCTCTTCTGGCTCCCAGGTCGCTTCGTCGTCTGGGTATCCTTGCCACTTGACAAGGTACTGAGTCTGATGCCTTCGCTGGCGATCGTCAAGAATCTTCTCCACCATGTATCTGGTCTGACCGTGCAAGTCAGTGAACGGTGGCGGGGGTGGCTGCCGCCTGCCGGGAATAGTATTCTGCTCATACCGGCGCAGAGCAGTGACCCCCGCCACCGTTCACTGATCCAAAATAGTGATACGGAGCGTCAGGAGTCGCCGCCAATTGAGAGCATGCTCATATCTGGTTCTCAGGCTCGCCGCGAGTTGAGGAAAGGCGCGCAGGGAATCCTGGCGTGGGTCAATGCTACTGACGACGAGGAGGAGGACAGCAAGCCATCAGCCGCCAGACAACACCCAGATCATCAAGAGCAGCTGGCTAACCTTCTGCGGCGGTACTCGGACATCTTTCCAGACGACCTGCCGACCGAGCTTCCGCCAGAGAGGGATGTCGACCATGAGATTGTGACTGAGGAGGGTGCCGTTCCTCCATCACGGGCTGCCTACCGTCTCCCCAAACCCGAGATGGACGAATTGCAAGCCCAGCTCACGGAACTCCTCCGCAAGGGCTTCATCGAACCCAGCAAGTCACCATACGGTGCCCCAGTCTTTTTCGTTAAAAAGTCTGATGGCTCATTGCGCATGGTTTGTGATTGGCGGAATTTGAACAGGATCACCATCAAAAACAAAGCTTGCCTCCCAAACATTGATGACCTGTTTGATACCATTCAAGGTAGCTCATACTTCAGTAAGCTGGATTTACGCTCGGGATATAATCAGCTTAGGATCCGTCAGGAAGATGTACCTAAGACGGCTATCAATACTCCCTTCGGTCATTTCCAGTTCCGGGTTATGGGCTTTGGATTAACTAACGCCCCTGCCACGTTTCAGTCATTGATGAACAGTATTCTCCAACCGTACTTACGGCGGTTTGTGGTAGTGTTTCTGGATGATATTCTTATCTTCAGCAAATCCTGGCAAGATCATCTTGAACATATCCAGACAGTTCTTGAGACGCTCCGGAAAAATAGGCTATTCTGTAAGCAGTCGAAATGTGAGTTTGGTGTCAAGGATGTTCTGTTTCTAGGGCATCGCATCGACGGTGAATGTATCGCTCCAGATCCAAAGAAGCTTAAAGCAGTGAGGGAATGGCAGCCACCGACGACAGTTATGGAGGTGAGACAGTTCCTTGGTTTTGCGAACTACTTTAGAAGATTTATTGAGCACTACTCTACTATATCGCGGCCATTAGAGGAGATCACTGGCAAACATGCCAGGTTCGAATGGAGTGGCCCCCGTCAGCATGCATTCGAATCCCTGAGGCAGGCCTTGTTGAGTGCACCGCTGTTGAAACTAGCAAACGTGCAGAAGCCTTTCAGAGTTGCAACAGACGCAAGTGATTTTGCAATAGCAGGCGTCCTTCTCCAACAGGGGGAAAGCGATAGTGCTTGGCATCCTGTGGCATATGCCAGTCGTAAGCTGTCACAAGCGGAGCGAAATTACACTGCTGCAGAACGCGAAGCCTTGGCGGTGGTGTTTGCACTGCGATCCTGGAGAATTTATCTATTCCAGCATTTTGAAGTGTTCAGTGACAGCATGGCCGTAGTCTACTTGAGCACAAAAGCCAATCTCACTAAGCGCGAAGCTAGATGGGTTGAATTTCTTGCAGACTATGACTTCACAGTTAATCACAAACCCGGCAAGGAAAATATGGCTGATGCGTTATCCCGCCGCCCTGATCTGCGCGGGTCAGCAATTGGCAATGTAGTTGAGGAAAAGGATTGCCCAACCATCCTCTGCTACCAGTGTAACCGTTTGAAGGTATTCTTGGAAAAGACAATGCTTGCTCAAGGCAACACAACTGATATAGGGCACTTCGTGCCCTAAGGTGATAACACGCGTGCTGACAGGATAGGTAAAGGTGCAAGATACAGAGCTAGAGGGCAGATAAGGTTAGCGCTAACAGGGAACTGTTACACAGTTCGTACAAAAGAGTAGTAAAATACCGGTATTTATCTACTCCTATGTTCGCACACGGAGTCCACTGTGCACTGAGCGCAGATCTCTTGCCACTCCCTGGTTCCCGGGACCCCGGTTCACGTGATTGTGACGTTTATCGAATAAGGTCTATGCATAGGGTGGTTTTTTAAGACATAACCTGGGATTCGAACCCGCACTATCGCCCTGCAAGCATCCCCCGATTCACTTCGCATACATACTAATTCTTCCAAGTTGCTTCACGTTATGATCTTGCATTTCCAAGCCCTATTTGAATATTGTGGCCAGTCGTCTTTGATGGTACGGTACGGTACGGGACAGGTACGGTCGAGGGTAATACGACACCATCTACCGCCTCGATGACCTAGGCAAAAAAAGCATGAGGATGTTATAAATTTTCAATTCTCCTATTTTTTTCAGCCATCACCTGGGATTCGAACCCGCCCTATCGCCCTACATGCATTCCCCGATACACTTCGCATTCATAAATCCGCAACCTTAAGACCCGAAAGGCTGCAGGAGCGGACGGTATTTCTCTTGAACAACCTTTTTTTTCCAGTATTGCCTACCCTCTCAGCCTTATCTTTAACCTCACTTTTGCAACTGGTGCCTTCCCTGCTATTTGGAAACACGTAATTGTAACTCCGGTCTTTAAGAACAAGAGAAGTAAGCTCGATGCATCGAATTACCGCCCGATTTCGTTATTGTCAACAATCTCCAAGCTGTGTGAACGTATTATGTACAACCACTTATACACTTACCTGTCTCCTGTTCTACATCCGTCCAAGTCTGGATTCCGAAAAGGCGACTCTACGTCCTGGCAGCTTCTCAGACTTGTTCAATCGATGTGTTCTGTTCGTGAGAACGGCCATTACAGCATGCTATGTTTCTTTGATCTAAGCAAGGCCTTCGACACAGTATGGACACGCGGGCTCCTATACAAGCTGTCGAGCCATGGAATCCATGGTACTTGCTTCATGTGGCTCAGTAATCACCTGACGGGCAGACAGCAAAGGGTGCGTGTCGGCTCTGCTCTGTCTGCCAAAGGGCATGTACGGTCTGGAGTTCCTCAGGGATCAATCCTGGGACCTCTTCTCTTTCTTGTGTATG